CCCCCCGCCCCCCCCACCACCCCCACCCCCCCCCCCCCTCCCCGCCCGCCCCCCCCCTACCCCCCCCGCCTCAGCTGGGGCAGATAATCCAAAGTGGGATCCGTGTTGACAGCACAGAGCCCAACGTGGGGCCAGAACCCACGAACTGTGAGATCATAACCTGAGCTAAAGTCAGATGCTTAACGGACTGAGCCACCTGGGCATCCCTTATTGGGTATATTGTAAAAGAACTCAAATTAGGATCAAATTGAAATAAGCTGGTTTGGATAGGAGACTTTTAAGGTCCTTCCATTCTTGAGGTGCTAAATCTGCAACCCATGCTATATTCAAGAGAGCCATCACTCTTGAGCCTATGTCACAGACCCATGAGTGACAGACTAGTTAGCTCCCAGAATCATGGGCAAGGGCTGGGGCTTCATTCCCAACCATACTAGAATGACTGCAAATGGACAACATAAACCATTCTCTCCTGCCCTGCTTCCCAGGTGTCCCTTGAACCTGGAGCAGGAAATACTTAATGCTTTCAGGGCTACCAAGAAGGACCTCATGACCCAAAATATCTTCCATAGCCTGCTCCCTAAAGCCTCAAATTTTCTCCTTAAACCTTTAGTGCCTTTGAACAATGTTTATTAAAACGCCACTTAATCTAATGTGGTGGGTTGGCATTAATCAAGCGTACACTAAAGGATGGATAAAAGCAACATAACCCTTCTGTACCCCCAGGAAATCAACTAGCCTGACCTTCCCTTCCCCCGACACAAATCAAAGAATACCTACAAAATACCCTGATTTTTACTTCTGGTACTCAGTTTCCTCAACTGCAAAATATGGTAGTTATATTGAACGTTCTCCTAGATTCCTCTTGCTCCACAGAAACTCAAGGAGTTTCTAAACCTGGGGCACCTGGGTAGTTCTGTCAGTTAAGCATCCAACTCTTGATTTCAGCTGACAGTGTGGAGCCGCCTTGGGATTCTCTCTCCCTCTCTCTCTCTGCCCCTACCCCGCTCTTGCTCTCTCTTTCAAAATAAAAGAAGTAAACTTTAAAAAAAAAAGTGTTTCTAAACCTATGTTTTTCCACTTATAAAACAGACGTGGCATCTGTTCTTCCGATTTTACCAAAGGGTCAAATAAAACCATGCTTGTGAAAGGTTTCTAAATGATAAAGCGCTATACAAACTTAAGGAATCACTACTATAAATTAAGATACACTAGAAGAGAGAGGTAAAAGAAGTATACTCTGCCATTAATTAGATTAGTTGCCTTAAATTTATTCTACCTCTCTGGGATGCTCAAAAAGTTGTAGTAATTATTGAATGGGAACATGTGAAGTAGGCACACAATAATAGTTGCATTTGTCCTTACTGAGATAGTCAGAATCTCAGAAATAAATGTGACTTTTAAGTGCATGTAATCCAGTATCTCATTACATGCAGGGAAATTCTCAAATTCTATTCCAAGTGGTCATAGAAACCACTAGGTTATCACTTCCAAGAATGTTTTCATCTTTGGACAGTTCTTAAATTTGTTTATTCATTGAAGGCATTACTTAGAACTGCCTTGAAAAGCAGCAAAAATCAACCACTCCCGACTCCATAAAAGATCTGGAAACAGATCATCAAACTCCTTATTCCGGAGGAATTGTCTCCCACCATCTAAACAGCTCTAATTCCTATGATGCTTCTCATAGGATCTAAGTTCAAATCCCTCTCAGAATCCTGGATGTTCTCTAGCTTCCCTCTCAGAGAGATGCTCTTAAAATGGAAACAGAACCAACCATCAAGTGGGAACAGGACTCTAACCGTTCTGATTCTACACTTTTGTAGTGATAACACAAATAGTTAGCCTTATATTGGAGGCCATGGAGGTCTTCAATGGGTGCATATCCTGTAAACAATGAGCACTGAGTTCCCAGAAGCAGGATGGAGGAAGCACTTCTAAATGGGAAAGGAGAGAGTCAAAGGGATGCTGATGGCACTAAAAAACAAAGGGCTTACTACACAGTTTTCCTAATATTAGAAACCACCTCTGTACAAAACAAGGATATGGAACATTATAAATAATGCAGACTTCTAGGGCCATGTGGAAGAAATAGTACCGTTATATTGAAAAAAAAATGTTTTGTATGACCTTTTATACTGAAGAATCTAGTCTATGTAGATGACATCTTCTCTACTTTGCCCAACAGAATCTCAGTTCCTAAGACATCTGCCTATTTCTTTCAGAAACCAGGAAAAAATATTGAAGATAATAAGTGGAACAGACATACACAATACTTAAGATCTGAATAAAAGGAGAAACATACCACATTCATGTAGGAGAAGATTATAAAGATGATCGCTCTCCAAAAATTAATCTACGTGTTTAATGCCATTCCAACTGCAATTCCAATGGTATTCATGGTGAGAACTCAACAAGTTGTTTCTAAGGTCGCCTGGAAGAATAAGCACATGAAAATAAAGATATATTTTAAAAAGAATGAGGCACTTGCTCTAAGGAAGTTATTAAGAACTCGGTATGTACAAAAGGACAGTAACCACACTAATCACAATGCAATAAAACAATATATATATTGTATATGTAATTATATATGTAATAAAAACATATAAGTTTACATATATACTTATATATACATAATTATATAACACATATCATGTATGTATAAGGCAGTTCAAACCAGAAATTCTCAATAGGAAGCATCACAGTAAATAATGGGAGTCAAAAAAGAAATGTAATTATGATCGGGGCGCCTGGGTTGCTCAGTCAGTTAAGCGGCCGACTTCGGCTCAAGTCATGATCTCACGGCCCGTGAGTTCGAGCCCCGCGACGGGCTCTGTGCTGACAGCTCAGAGCCTGAAGCCTGTTTCAGATTCTGTGTCTCCCTCTCTCTGACCCTCCCCCGTTCATGCTCTGTCTCTCTCTGTCTCAAAAATAAATAAACGTTAAAAAAAAAAAAGAAATGTAATTATGATCAAACATATTTAACAAACAACAAACAATACTACTTATGAGATTGAGCCAGTACTACACAGAACCTTAAATTCTCTTATAAGATAATGAAAAAGAATTAGTAAAGATAACAAACATAATGGGAGTCAAACAAAGGAGAAGAGGACAGAAAGAATATGTGAATGAATAATGGCCAAAACTTACCAAATCTGATAAAAATATTAATCTATACATCATGTAAGAAGATCAATATATGCTACAAGGATAAACTCAAAGATATTCAAATCAAACCTAGACTCATAATAATCAAATCATCAAAGTAACTTCAGAATCTTGAATGCAGCAAGAGAAAAACAACTCATCGTATGTAATGGATCCTAAGAAAGTTAAAGCTGACTTTTCATAAACCATGGAGACCAGAAAATAGTGGAATGATATAGTCAAACTCCTGAAGGAAAAAGAATGTTAACTGAGAACTCGGTATCCAGCAAAACTATCCTTGAGAAATGGAGAAATTATAACATTCCCAGATAAACAAAAGTTAAAAGAATTCAGTGCTTAACAGATGTGCCCTATAAGAGATACAAAAGAGTCCATCAGGTAGAAATGAAAGGACACTAGACGGTAACTCACATATAAATCTAAAATAAAGAACATGAATAAAGGTAACTGCATAAATAAATTTAAGAGACAAAAAAATCTATTTTTATATGTAATGTTTTTTCTCATTTCTGACTTAAAGATAATAGCATAAAGGAGTAACTAGAAGATTGTGTTGATATGTTTACATTGCACACAGAAGTAATTTGTATAATAAAAGCACCAAGAAGAGGGGAGGGAACAAAGATATAGTGGAGCAAATTTTGTACACAATTGAAATTAATCTGAAAACAATTATTTTAAGGTAAGATGTTAACTGAAATAGCAGAGCAATCATGAAAAAAGTAAGTTAAAAATACAGTAAAAGAAAAAAGGAATTAAAACAAAAAGACATAAGACACATGGAAAACAAATAGGAAAACAAGAGACATCAGTCCTACCTTATCAGTATGTTTTATTTCATTAAACATAAATAAAAATAATCTAATAAAAAGGCAGAGTTTGGCAAAAATAGATAAAAAAATATAACCCACCTATATGTTATCTGCAAGACATGTATTTTAGATTCAAAGACACAAAATGTTTGCGAGTAAAAGGATATAAAAAGATATACCAGGCAAACAGTAACCAAGAGAGCTGGATAACTATACTAATAAAAAATAGAATTAAATATTCTCCAGGTAGACCATATGCTAAGACATAAAACAAGTGTCAATAAACTTAAAGAATTGAAATCATACAAAGTATGTTCTCCCACCAAGAAATGAAATCAGAAATCCGTAACAGAATAAAATTTGGGAAATTTGCAAATTTGGGAAAATTAAACAACAAACTCTTAAATAACCAATGGGTCAAAAAAATAATCATAAAGAGAATGAGAAAATACTTTCAAAATGTAAACAAAACATATAAAATGTATAGAATGCAACAAAAACATTGCTTACAGGGAGAATTGTAGCTGTAGTTACCTATATTAAAAATGAAGATCTCGGGGTGCCTGGGTGGCTCAGTAGGTTGAGCGACCGACTTCGGCTCAAGTCATGATCTCACGGTTTGTGAGTTCGAGCCCCGTGTTGGGCCCTGTGCTGACAGCTCAGAGCCTGGAGCCTGCTTCTGATTCTGTGTCTCCCTCTCTCTCTGTCCCTCCCCTGCTCATCCTCTGTCTCTGTCTCAGAAATAAATAAATATAACAAAAAGTAAAAAAAATAGTAATAAAAATGAAGATCTCAGAATGCCATGGTGGCTCGGTCAGTTAAGCATCTGACTTTGGCTCAGGTCATGATCTCATGGTCGGTGAGTTCGAGCCCTGCATCAGGCTCTACGCTGATAGCGCGGAACCTGCTTCAGATCCTGTGTCTCCCTTTCTCTCTGCCCCTCCCCTGCTCATGCTCTCTCTCAAAAATAAATAAACATTAAAAAAAATGAAGATCTCAAATCAATAAACAAACAATCTTAAATTTAAAAAAGGGCAAGCTAAACCAAATGAGTCAGGAAGAAGGAAATAATACAGGTTGGAATAGGAATAAATAAAGAATAGAAAAAACAGAAAATCAAGAAAACTGAATTTGGTTTTTTTGAAACAATAATAATAAAAGACAAACCTATAGCTAGAGTGACCATGAAAAAGAGAGAGAAAATTCAAATAAATATGATCAGGAATAAGAGAAGGGACATTACCAACCTTATAGGGAAAAAAAAGGATCACAAAGAACTATCAAAAAGTGTGTGCCAAACTAGGTGAAATGGACACATTCCTTGAAAGACACAACCAAATCTGACTCAAGAAGAAAACTGTGAACAGACCTAGAAAAATAAATTTGATAATTAATCTATAAAAGTTCCCAAAAGAAGAGTCCATGAAAAGATGACTTCATGCTAATTCGGTGAAATGTTTAAAAAGAATTAATACCAATCCTTTGTTTAATGTTCAAAAAAAAAGAGAGGGAAATGCTTCCCAAATCATTCTCTGGGGCCATTAGTAGTCTGATACCAAAGCCAGACAAAGATAAAATGAGAAAACCACAGAGCAAAATGCCTCATGAATAGAGAGTTCCAAAAAAGTCCAACATAATACTAGCAAACCAAATCCAGAAATGAAATGATTATATACCATGACCAAATTGGATTTACCTCAATACAGTTGGTTTAGTATCTGAAAATGAATGAATCTAATACACTATACAAAATAAAGATAACCTCATGATCATATCAACAAATGTAGAAATTTCATGACAATCATTCATGATTAAAAAAAATGAAAACCTCAACAAGCTAGGAACAGAAGGGAACTTTCCATACTTGACAAAGGGGATCTAGAAAAACTGTACAGCTATCATTGCAATTAGGGGTAAGTATATTTCCCCTAAGGCCAGGAAGACTGCTCTTGCCAATAATGTATAGGAGATTCTAGTTAGGGTAATTAGGCAGAAAAAAGAAATAAAAATCAATGAGATTAAAAAGAAAGAAGTACAATGATCTGTATTTGTAGGAAATATAATCTTATACATAAAAATCCTAAGGAATCTACCAAAAAGAAACTCACCCCACCTAACATTAAAACTATTAGAATAAAAAGAAGCAATTCTAATGAGTTCAGAAACCTTAGAATATACAGTACCAATAAAAAATAATTTTACTTGTATATACTAGCAATTAATAATCAAAATGAAGTAAGAGAATAATTCTGTTATCAACATTATGAGTAAAAGTGGAGCATATAGAATAATTTTTTAAAGGTTTATTTTACAGAGAGAGAGAAAGAGAGCTTACATGTGCAGGTGGGAGGAGGGGTAGAGAGAGGGAGAGTGGGAGACAGAGAATCCCAAGCAGGCTCTGCACTGTCATTGCAGATCCCCATGGGGCACTATCTTACCAACTGTGAGATCATGACCTGAGCTGAAATTAAGAGATTCTTAACTGACTGAGCCACCCATATGCCCTTAGAATAGTTTTAAACAGAAATACAAGACTTTCTATACTGAAAATTACAATGTTGAAGAAAATTAAAGACTAAATTAATGGAAAGACATCCCATATTAATGAACTGAGAGAACAGTTAATGTGGCAATACTCCACAAAGCGATCTACAGGTTAAATGTGATCTTCATCAAAATTCCAGATCTTAATTTATAGCAATTGACAAAATGATCCTAAAATTCATATGGAAACTCAGGGTCCAACAATCTTGAACCAAGTCGAAGGATTCGTAATTCCAGATTTCAAAATTTACTATAAAACTAAAATAATAAAGACAGTATTGCCTGGATATAAGGATACACAGATAAGTGAAAAATAATTTATAGGCCCCAAATACACCTTTGAATTTAGAATCAATGGATTTTCAATACAGGTGTCAAGATAATTCAATAGGATAGTCTTTTCAATAAATGGTAGTAGGAAAACTGTATATCTACATGCAAAAGGATAAGGTTGAACTTATACTTCATACCATATATAAAAATAAATGCCAAATGGAGCAGACCTCAGTGTAAAATAATAGTGTCTTTGTTATGGCACCAAAATCAAAAGTGACCAAAAAATAGAGAAATTAGATTTCATCCATGTTAAAAACTTACATACTGCAAACAAGAAAGTTAAAAGACAACCCAAAAAATGGAATAAAAAATATTTACAAATCACATACCCAATAGGGGTCTATTATCCAGTTGTATAAAGAATTCTCACAATAAAATGACAAAAAGACATATAACCCAATTCTAACGAACAAAGGATTTGAATAAGCATTTCTCCAAAGAAATATAAATAGCAAATAAGCACATAAAAAATTGCTCAACACAGAAATACTGGTCAAAGCCACAATGAGACACTCCACATCCACTAGGATGGCTATTTTTATAGAAGACCGAAAGTAACAAGTGAGACTAG